TATGGTGGGGAACGAACGCGCTATTATCCTTTCCGGGGAGTAACGCGTTCACCACCACACCATGCGGGTCCTTTGTTTCGCACGTCTCTCAGCTATTTCTATCGATCTTTTTGCCACAGCAATCACCCGTCAGCGGGGTTGATCTGGGGAGCGCTTTGATTTCAACTACAGCCATAGCTTAACTGGGTTCTATGCCGATTTGCGCTCCCCAGATCAACCCCGCTGACGGGTGATTGCTGTGGCAAAAAGATCGATAGAAATAGCTGAGAGACGTGCGAAACAAAGGACCCGCATGGTGTGGTGGTGAACGCGTTACTCCCCGGAAAGGATAATAGCGCGTTCGTTCCCCACCATAGACACCTGCGGTCCAGGGTTTTGCAAATATCTCAGCAACGTTGTGGTTAAACAAATGAAAATTATAAGTCTTACGAGAATCTCAGTCTTGGATGGTTATTGAATCTATAACAATTTAGTGAGAGAGCGCCGTGATTTGATCACTATTCGGGCCAGCCTACTTTTCGTAAAGTACTTTATCTGCTTTTTAACGTATTATTTGGTGCCTACTCTTTTTAACGGCCGGGTATACATTGTGAAATATAACTTCAATGATGCTGAGATATTTGCAAAACTCCGGACCGCAGGTGTATGCGGTGAGGAACGAACGCGCTATTGTCATTGCCGGGGAGAAGTGCACTTCACCACCACACCATCCGGGTCCTTTGTTTTGCTTGTCTCTCAGCTAGTTCTATCGATCTTTTGCCATCAGCAATCACCCGTCAACGGGACCTCAGCTTAACTGGGTTCGTTGCCTATTTGGACCTCCCAGATCAATCCCGTCATACACCTGCGGTCCGGAGTTTTGCAAATATCTCAGCATCGTTGAAGTCTATCTGCTTTCTTCTTGTAGAACACTTTCATTTCCATTTTTTATTTCACCTTTAAAATCGATTTCTATGGAGCACTAAGAACAGATGATTACCACCCACCTTGATTGGTTTATAATAATGCCATTCATCAGAAATTATTCCTTTAAACATGTAACTTGGATGGTACGTATTAAAGCGAGGTTGACCTTTTTCGTTTCGTGTGTCATGTGGAAAAATTTCGACATTATGCAGGCATCTAGAAGTAATAAGGAATAACCTCAGACTTTAGTGTTCAATTAACTACCAGATATCTTCATCAAGCACTGTATTTCTGCTGTTAGTAGAAACTGTGGGAAAGTTAAAGGATAAAGTGTTCAACATCAATCAATTCATTATCTATGAATAATGTGTTCGAGTCCATTCATAGCATCGCTGATATGCCTGAGTGTACGTAATCAGATCTTCTGAAGGGGGTAATTGAACCGGCAACCATTTGTATTGTAAGGTTCCTCTAACCACTACGGTAAAAACACTAGCAGATAAAGAATGTATGCCCCATTTTCTATACCTGGCAATTCCGACGTCTTCATTATATTCAAGTGGACATAGTGTGCGATCGAAAAAGACCCGGTCTATAAATAACTTTAGTGCTGCACGGCTTAGTACATAACCAGCGCCGCCGCCGTTGTAACCTCGCTTCTGAAATGGGAAAGTTATTGGCAATTCATTCTACTAATTTATATTATTATTATGGTCGTCGATGTCGAACAATTGTGAATGATGGACCTATAATATTTAGCTTATATATTGATCACTAGCAGCAATAAGCGTTCGATTAGCCAAGGTCCATTGAATACCTGACTATTATAAAAGATTTTTAACGTAGACAGCTAGGCAAGAAAATAATAGCAGATACTTACGAAATAAGGTCTTAACGTGTATCCTAGGTAGTAGGGTTCCGTTGGATCGAGTGTTGCCAGGTATTCGTACATATGCTCCATGATTACGTAGGTGTCATCGTCAGCCTTAGAAATTGTATTGTTTTGAGAAAGGTATGAGCAACAAAGCTTTTTCCAATTGGCACTTAGTACCACATATATCATCTATAACATCTACAGAGTAACCACTTATATTTTTTGCATCATCGAGTTTTACAAATGGGCTTCTTTTAAAAATGATAATTTCTGTTTTATTGACTTCCTGTACATTCTCCATTTTCAGCGTGTTTATTGTCCATGACGGTGATTTGCTTTTTGAACCGTGATAATATGTACGAGTTCCATTCAGTTTTTCTTAACTCGCTTTCACAAGTGGGCAGAGTTAGATGACGTGAGCCACCAACATTACTATCCATCCTGTATGTGGTCGTTCAGATGATGCTTGCATTCTCTTGTTGTCACTATATCTCTTTTTCACTCTCATCTAACTCTGTTTTACATGACCCTAAACACCACATTTCTTTTTAAATGTCTGCTCTCAATGTGCGTGAGGTATCAGACTATGTTTTTGGTCTTTATAAAATTCCCGTACGTGGCCGGGGCTCTCTCCTTTTTATATACTGTCCATCTCATGGATTGCCGTGCTCAGTTCACGCGGTAGTGTAACTGACATGTTCTCCTCGCATGCAAAGAATTGCCTGTCGAAATTTGTTTTGTTGGCACCGTGTGGTCTTTTAAGAAAAGACGAACTGGCTGCTTGTTTTGCCTGGAGTGTGGTATCGAGCCAAGATTGATTGCTTAGTGTAGGCCATCTTTAACACTTCACTATTCGAACCTTCTTCTTGACAAAATTCATCGAATTCACTATCTTTCGGCACAGCAGAAACGGCCAGTGAATTATCGGTAGTATCGATCATACTCTCTAAACGATAATGCGGTCACATTGCTCTCACCTTAAAGTACCAATCGAATTGATCGGAAATCTCAGTAAAAGCGTAGTGAAAGGAGATCATTGACTTCTGGAATAGATATTTGTAGTCATCTGGAATACCGTTCAACACGGTGCTGTGTGGAATTGTTGGATCCATCGGGATGTTGGCAAAAAACTGTCCGTGATCGCAACGCGGCAGCCATGTTTCGTTCACAGCCAATACCTAGACAAAATATCTAAAAAATTGACGTAACCTCAACAAAAACAAATAAATAAGTAAACAAGTTTGACGATAGAATCTGCTTTTCAAGAATGTCGTTTCGCTTTTCATTTTTTTTTTCTCCTTGGGTTAATTCCATAGTGAATATTTTTCAATCCTGCGTTATTCTAAAGACACTCGATTTCTAGTGTAACAGTGGGTGTGAACATGTGAAAAATCTCACCCTGGTACCATAAAATTTTGGAGAAGTAAGCACAAAACACAGCAATCGACCAGTTTTAGGAAGACGTTTGGCCGGTTCGGATACACAAACACCTTCGTGTGCAACCAATTCGGAACTGGAATGAGCTAAATGGAGTAAAATATGGCTATTAGCAAATATACGTAGAACTGTTAGGGTAAATTACTAGCTGAGAGAAAGAAAAAGTGATGGCCTGGATTATGCAGTGGGTAGGTCGTGAGCCCGCGGAAAAGCTACCCCTGGGTTCTCGCCCTTGCAAATATCTCATCATCATTGTGGTTGTATTTCACATAATACTGTGCCAAGAAGAAATAATAAGTAGTGAATAAGATTGAACATTGTGATTTTAACCGTATCTTCCCCTTAACAGAGCCCAATGCCGATTTGTGCTCTGAAGATGTCTGGTGTTAGCACCGTCAATGTAAGAAACCGACTACCCTTTTTGTGTTCATCCCCGTGAATAGTTCTGCCTTGAAGGTCTTCTGCTAGTCCTGCTGTGTATTTAAAATATCTTGGAAAGGCTTTCCCGCTCCGCAAGCTTAAAATTTTCGCCTGAATGCGAAAAAAATCATTAATTAAATGTCGTTGTTAGTTTTCGGGCAAGTCAATGTTGAAACTATGGACAGTTGTTGAAAATCGAAAAAATCACAAAGAAAATCGAGACGAAAATTTAAAAACATTGCCAGTTATTAGTCAAGCTTCAATTTACATAAAATAAAGGACAGAGGATAAATCTCTCGGCGTTAATTAATCTCTGAGAGATGCGCCATGCATTCGACTTCATTAAGTATCGTTGGAGGTGATTGAATGCATATCTGGCTTTTGCGGTGACACGGTGGCCTACCGATGTATCGAACTAGGGCAGCTATCCTTCCAGACAAGTCTGGGACGAATTTGCCGACCCTGGAGGCATGGAAGGCTTGGTGGGCCATAGGCGCGGGAATCGATTCCACGTACGTGTCGCAGTGGCCCCTTCAACCACTGCGCCATACGCCCACGCACATGAAATAGCAGATGTTTGTTTTTGAGGCCAGTGACGCTGAACGCAACGCAAGTTGCATCGCTTATGGTAACTTCAGACAGTTTAGCATATATCCCACAAAAATTTTTTATTGTCGCATGTCTTAATAACTCAGAAGACCAACCTTCTATAAAACTCGGTATAATTTATGGATATAATATAATCGATACAATATTAACTCTTTATTTGCTGCCTGCTAAGTTTTTTTTATAGAAGGGTATTATGCGAAATACAACCAAAATGTTTAATCCGTTAAACCCGGTGTGGTGGTGAGCGCGTTACTCCCCGGAAAGGACAATAGCGCGTTCGTTCCCCACCGCAGACACATGCGGTCCGGAGTTTTGCAAATATCTATGGATCATTTAAGTTATATTTCGCAATATATACTCTGCTATTAGAAAGAGTAAGCAGTAAATAATAAGTCAGAATTGTGATTACAACCACAATGATGCTAAGATGTTTGTAAAACTGCCGACCGCCTGTGTTTACCGCGGAGAGCGAAGGCGCTATTACCGTTTCCACGAGCTAACGCGTTCACCATAATCAATATAATTATTTATATTTTCTTATGAACTGATCTTTTTGAGCTGATGCGAAATCGGTATTGTTGTCGTTGTTGCTGTTGTTGTTGATCGATGACTGACGTTTCGTCGATTTCGCTTTGCTTAAAGCCATGCTGTCACGATTGGGACGTAACCCGAACAACCACTACAGTAACGACAACAACAACAACAGCAACAACAACGGCAGCTATGCCTACCTCGCATCAGCTCTACAAGATCAGTTCATAGGAACATTTAAATAAATTTTTATCGCATTGAGATTTCTTATTAAAAGTATTGGAAGGTAATTCTTGGTGTTGAGTTGCGAGTTCAAAATCCAACGAGCTCAACAATTGCAGGAAGTAAAACAAATTTTTCATCCGCCAGATCACCTTAAAGTATATCAACGCCAGAAATCGTTGCAGTCCTCTTTGATTCTATTCCAAGTGAAGATTGTTAAGTTCCCGGATCTATTCAAACCAGCGAGTTTGTGCTTCGATGGAATAGAAAGTCTATGCGATACTTTCAGGAAGTCCATGGAAATAAATCAAATAGCTTAACAAACAATACATCATCTTGTCTCAATACATCTACGATAAGCAAAATAACCATCTTTTTTGCAATCTCGAGCTGTGGAGTGATCTGTGAGAAATGACCAAATCTGTTAAAAAAACAGGGCGACAGTCTTTGGAGAATATTCCTTGCTCTGCACCTGCAACTGTCTGGTCGGACGTGTACCCTTACATTCCTTAAAAGTCGGAGATCACTTCAAATTTTGCATCGCAGAGCTCACTTCGGAGATCGGAATATACTGATTAAACGGTGATATCGTTCTTCTTGATTATAAATATTCCCAAGTGTCATTGCCAATGCAGTCGGATTAATATCCACTGCTAAGAAGGAACTACTTGATGACAGAAGAAAACTAAGTCGAAGAGCAGGTCTCGAATAAATTGAAAGCCGATCACTTAATGAACAAGTCATGCTGTAATAGAAATTTTAGCTGCCACGACCGACTTTCTATTAACCTCGGCATTGATCAAGTAATTTTCTTCGTATTTTTGTTGAGCAAACGCGAGATGTTATTATTCTTTGTTCACGATTAAGCTGACGTTTCGGCGGATTTCGCCTTCCTCAGAGCCTGGAAAGGTCAAGTTGAGAGCAATCCACTCGACCAGATGCCTCAATAACCAAACAAAGAAACTCCAAACCAAGATTTCAATCACTTTGAACACAGCTTTGCACACTCACCGCTTCCTATGAGGTTTCCACTAAGTATGTCACGTAGAGACCAACCGCACAGAAATCACATTTTTAGCGTTAAAAAAAATTTTAGCGTTTCTTGACACTACATTCTACAAGCACCTATGCCGCTATGCGAATAAAAAGAAAAAGTAATGAGTATTTTTACAGAGGAACAGCAGTGTTGGTCATGCGTGGATCTCTCAGAGAAGCCAGCAATCAACTTTGACCTAATTCTAATTCCGCGCTTATCCTTTAATTCGACAGTCCACCTAGTGTTCTGTTGTGCAGATGACGCCAGATTAAGTCCCGAAGAAAACCCTATGCGCTACCGCTAGACCAAGTTGTTCACATGAACAGGTCTGTTCACGGCTGGAAACGTCTAACGGATCAAGGATTGATGGTCAGCATCCAGGAAACAGGCCACTGCCTTTGACAGCAATCAAGAGGGAAAGAAATAAATTCGAGATATGCGTTATTATAGAATGCATGAAGACAAGAAAACAAAACAACGCGGTATGGATCAGTCGAGTAACTAACACACTCTTAAGTGTGGATCTGAAGAAAATCGGCAGATTAATTGTGAACAGCTCTGTGGTTTTTTAAGCAGAATTTCGTTTCTTCATATTTCGATTGCGAGATGACTAAGGCCTCTAACGTATACGGACCATACATTGTTGACATTTAATATTTCTATAAGAAAAAGGCTTGGAGAAAGTAAGATTTCGGCCAGGAAGAACATAAGCCTCAAACGAGTTTCTGCAGTGGTCTACTATCACTCTCACATAGATGGTATTCTAGACCCTTGCCTAGGAATTTGATCTCAATTGAAAATTGGATACCAGTTGAACGTTCTGTTCACCAGTGTCTTCAGACCTTATTCAATCACTCCGGAAGGCCACTAATGTGATCGCGATATCCCACTTGATGTTCTAAACTTGTGGTTTCCTTTTAAATCACTGGAGATTTTGTGGTTATGGTTGTAGTAAAACGCTTTTATTGCCTTGTTCTATTAAATACTTTTTTATTAAGTAGACGTCAAAGTTTTGTAATTACTGGATCATCTGAGTAAGGTTATATTGTAGTGAATTTCTGCAGTTGCTCATCATGGCTTCTCCTCTCACTTTCATCAGCCGCGGAGTTCTTCGGATATTCATAGGGAACTGGCTGCCGTTTAAAGACTTCTTCTTCATGGATGTTGTCAAATGCTGGCCGATTTGGTTCACCTTGGAATAGTGTGATAATTCTACTAGAGTGATGAACTTTCCGATTCCGGAACGATGGGAGAATTTGTTGGATCGGATTTGAGTGCATCCAGAGTGCATTTCACAATATCCATTTCCCCATAACCCTAAAAGTTGCCGATAATACAAAGTGAGCGGTGTATAGTAATGCATAATGCTCACAGAGAAGGAGGACTTCCTATAATACCTTCCGTAACGGCAATAATCACACCGCAAAGGGTGAATGCAAATAAGAATGTGATCAGGCACTGCCAAGGTATAGTGTATCGATGCCTGAAAATCAGTAGAGTCAGAGAGGAAGTTGATCGAGTTGCTAGTTCAAATTATTGGAGTTCGTTCACCAACTAAGACAAATAACTTTATAATAAGTAATGACAACCGCGTAAGCATTTTTCTTCTCACTTTTATCTCTATTTTTAGTTTTTCCTTAAATTTATGGTCGTACCTGTATTTAATCAACAACGTATGCGCGGTATTGAAGAGTTTAATGACTTCCGTAGAAATTTTAATCATCTGAAACAACAGTTGATAACTCTTATCACATCGAAGACAACTGCCGACAACTTTTTAAGAGTTACAGTGCCTGAGGACCTAAGGACTTGAGGCACACAAGCGAAATCATGCTGTCATATAAGGATACATAGATATATAGCGCTTTACCAAGGTATTATTTCGGCCTTTATATGGTTTGAGATTAAAATTTTCACAGTTTTGGACACATGCCGACAAACGTGCACGTAAGCGATGAGTTTGGTCAAATGCATTTTGCTGAACGGAATTCCAATTGACCAAGTGCTTCGGCCTTCCAAATTTGAGTATCGAAGAGGAAACCATGAGCTCGATAGATCCAAAATTTTTTGGTAACAAAGGAACAAAATCTATTTCTTATTAACGAACATCTTTAAATCATTTCTAACATCTCGTCTGTTGAAACCTCATCTCTTCGGCCGATGCTTCTCTCCAGAAAATTTGGTTTGACAGCACTGCGGAGAAAACAACCGCGAGAACGAATGGATGTGAACGATTGGTACGGTAAACTTT